CACTGCTCTTTAGAATGATTGGGAGTTTAGAAAACCTCTAAGTCTGAAGAAAACCCCAAGTAATCACTTGGGTCCAATGTCTTAATTAATGAGAACTCACTTTAATCAAAGTTAATTAACACCTCTTAAAACATTGTTGAAAACCACTTAAAGTGTAAATGAATGAATGATGCAAATGCCCTCTGAATGTCAATTGACAGCCACAGAATACCAAGCACTCAGATTAATCAACAATTATCACTGATAATCAAATTGAACACAAGGATTCAAAGTGAAATATTAAAATAGAATAATCAACATTAACATCATCCAATCTAAATACAATAGAATAGTCTAAACACAAGATTTACAATCATAAACCAAGTTTGATACAAGTGTAGAAAGTTCCTAAATCTAGAAAAATTCAACACAACATTAAACAATGATTTAGACTATAGAAAGAAAACTCCCCGATTAAGTCCTTGAGCTCAAGCTTTGTCTTCCATCACCCTAATAGCCTCTTATGCCTTTAAACAATCGCAATCGTTCCAGGAATGAATAACCATGGTTAAAGCTAAAAATAAGGTTGGAAAAATGGAGAAGAAGGGTGTTGGAGTGGTTTGATCGGTTTAGAAATACAGAAAATGCTAAAGAGAGAAGAAAAATGGAAGTTTTGGGTATAGGATCAATGGAGATGATGGTGGCTGAACCTTGTGCAAATCTACAGAATGGAAGAGTTCCCTTTCGTGGTGGCTACCCTCCTTAGGTATAGAAGCTCAGAAACCTATTCCAAAATACATAGCTTCACTTAACGCACTCAGGTCGCGACCTCAGGAATGTAAGGTCGCAACTCAGGGGGGTCAGGTTGCCACCTGAGAGATTTCTTATCGTGACCTGGGAAGACAGAGAGCTCTCATCTTTACTCAGGTCCAAAACGCGTGGCTTCAGTAAAATGGCATCCAGGTCACAACCTAACAAGTCCATGTCGGGACTTGGGGAGGCAAAACACTCCCAACTTTTGTGTTTTGGTCCTTGTAACATTTTGGCTCCATCCATACTCTATCATGACTCTTGGGTCCTTCTCCAATTGCCTGAAAATCACAACAAAGAGCTTTGTAAAGACCAATTGACTATAGATCAAGGCAATTAAAATTTAGAAGAAAAAAATGACCCTTTCTTTACCCCTTAAACAGCAAAATGCAATGCATAACTCAATGTAATCAAATGGATATAAATGCACGCATAATGAGGGTAAAATTGTTGCAAAACATTATCAAACATTTGAGATAACCATATAAAGATTGGGTTCTATCACTCCCCCACACTTGAACCTTTGTACTCCTGGACAAAGATTTGAATCATTCTAAAGAAAGTACAACTACAATTAAAAAGACTAGCATGTTCAAAAGTGATCTCAAGAGCTAATTGATCAAGAAAGTCAGAGAAACGTGGACCAAGTAAATTCAGAGGAAACTTAAGGATTAAGTTTTGATCCAACAGCTAGGATCTAATCTCCTTTCTCCTCCACCATATTTGTGACACTTGGTGTCTTCTAGAAGAATGAGATAAAGATGATGCAAGAAGATGATGCAATGATGATGTAAAAGTCAACTTGAAGTTCCAAGATTGCCCTTACTCTTTCTATTAGCCACCAAGGGCATTTTGGTCCATTCAAGCCAAAGTTTTGGCTATAAATACCCCACCTTGGAAGAGCATTTTGGTAGTCATTTGTAGAGGGAAAACTCTGCCAAAATTTAGAGAGAATAACGTACAAGTGAAGGCTAAGAAGAAGGAACAAGATTCAAGCATCAAGATCAAGGTATGTGATGGTTGTAGCATATGATTTGATACCTATTTCGAATAAGTTGCTCTTTGTATCTGATTCTAAAATTTGGCATGCTTAAAGTACACTCTGTAAGATTTAAATCCATGGGTAGAACACTTCATTTGGATATGTGTACGACTTATGGTGATTTTTCAAAGTTAGGGTCTGAAATCTGGAAACAGTATCTAACCTTTAGAAGAGTGTCGAATTCTGTACAATTCTGGTACTGTTCAGCATAGAATTGGTTCCTAAAACTATTTTTCCTTTAAAGAGAACTTAAGGAGCTTTCAGTGAGACTTGAAACCACTCACTTTTGATTTTTATAGAATTAATTATGAATTTTCAAAGTTGAGCAAAAATTCTGGAATTTCTGTGTGAACAGTACCCGTGAACCAAAATTTTCAGATTTGATCTTCTTGAACCTAAGACCATCTAAAGTGGTCCTAATTGACAAGAAATAGATCTTAAGGATAGGAAATGATGAGATTTATGTTAGAAAAGCTAGAAAGAAAACCCTAAAATGAAGAGAAAGGGTTGAGGTTCAAGAGAGCTAGTCTTGAATATTATGTAATCTAGTGGTTCTAATGGATTGTGTGATCATTATGACTATGTTTAGGACCTTGGAACATCCAAGAGGATGTTTGGTAATGTTAACCGAATGCCCACATGGTTGGAAAGTCAAGGGAGTTAAAGGAAAAGTAAGAGGAAAGCTTAAGGTGCAAGGTAGTGAACTTACCTATTGTCATTGCTTGATGTTGTATGCTTGTGTGTTGCTATGTACATGCTATTTGAATGTTAATGTGAGACATTTTAGCTGCTGTAATTGCTATTCATGATGAGTAGATTATGTCTCCATGGCCATACATCAGGAAGTTAGCTTTGAGCATGCTAATATGTCACTAATTAACAAGAGAATAAACAAGTTGCGTGTAGTGCATCAGCATCCATCTAGCATGATTAATATGGTATTGTTTGCTACTGAGATTTTTCCAAATCTCACCCCTCCCTAACCAACTATTTAGGTCAATCATCAATGGGCAATAATGGCATGAGAAGCAAGGAGATGAAAGTGGAGAATTATTCATGTTAATGAATGATATTATTATTCAATGTGTAATTCTCCTATTATGTAATTTATGTTATGGATGCCTATGATGCCATGTAATTAATTATAATAGTTATGGCATGAATGAAAGTGTATGAGCATGAATGGCAAAGAGTAAGCCCATGGTATGTATGCCAAAGAAATAAAAAGAATTAAAGTAAAGAGATGTTAAAAGATAAAACGTAGGTCTTGGAGCAATGAGTTTGTAGCTCCAGTTTGACCTATCGAACGAATGAGTTAAGTCACAAAATTTGGCAGAATCATAGTACACATCCCAAGCTTTAAAATGAGAGGTAGATCACCTTAATTGGATGTGTACACAAGGAGATACAAATTTCCAAAGTTGAGGCACAGAATCTGGAAGTTCCAGATTTTATAAAATAAACAGTAATATTTATTGATTAAACTATATGAATTGGGTAAGGATAAGTCTAATTGGATATCTTTTCCTTAAAGATCATTAAAATAAATTTTCGTAGAATTTTAGAATATATCAATACGATTTTTATGGAATTAGTTATGAATTTTTGAAGTTGGGTCTATAATATGGAAATTAAACAGTGAATAGTAACCCAAGTAATTATGTTGAAATTTTAAATCCACTTGCTTGTATCGTGATCTGCTTAAACTATAATGCTTACGAATGTGTACTCTGAGGGATTAAGGTAGGACGTTTCAATATTCAAATATGACATTGAAAATTTTACACAATAAGGAGAATATAATACAAATTTTCTCAATATTCATCCATAAAACAATCAATTGGTTACGATAATCAAACATGTTATCCGAAGAATGTTTTAATCAACATCTAATACTAATCATGTGGAGAATAACCATCCCATCTATATAGATATATAAATACATTCCAATATTCATATCTTTATCTATTCTAGCGAATATCTCATATGTCATATATTGTATAACTCATGGTGAGGAAAATCGTCCCACCTATATATATATATATATATATATATATATATATATAGGGATTGTGATTGAGAAAGGGGGGATTTGATTTGAGATTGTGGAGGTAGAAAAGGAAAGTGAGGTTATTAAATTCACAACAGTTTAAAATCTCAAATTAGGACATTTGACCTAATTAGGAATTGAATTTGTTGAATTTAGTTATTTGATTTTGGATTTGTTTATTTCAAATGGTTTTAAAAAGGATTTTCCTTTTCTTATTAAAAATTTATGTCTAAGTACACATTTGGTTCCTTTGACTTTATGTAAGGTTTCATTTTAATTCCTTAACTTTAAAAACTATAATTTTAGTCTTTTAACCCTAAAATTGTTAGTCTTAAATAATGATTTTTTGTAACAATCATGTTTGTTTTGAAAATTAAACTTAATATATTAACATTTAGTAATGTTTTATCAATATTCAAAAGCTTAATATTATCTTTTTTTTTGTTAACTATTTTGGGGTTACAGGACTACTAACAGTTTACTTTTTAAAATTAAGAGACCAAAATGAAATCTTTTGTAAAGTTAAAAAATTAAAAGTATACTTTAGTCAAAATTGTTTAAGTTAGTATTTTAAAATGGCAAATATGTTCAACAACCTAAATTTGTTAAATATTACTTTTTGTTTGCCGCAAATTTGATAAATGTACTTAACTTAATACGTGCAGATTCCAAGTTGAGATAAAGGAATGACTGAAGAATGTAGATCTCCTTGATACCTCAAGCCAAAATCAATAACAGCATCCTCTGCATAAAATTTTGTAGAGTTGTCACCAAAAAATAAATTGGAGAGATTTTAACTTCACTTTCCAAAATGGAAAAAAAAAACATCATAATCCACAATTAAAGATCCTTATTCCTTACAAATACCGCTCCGTGCGAAGAGGGTCAAATTCGGGCCCAAGGCCCAACTAATTAATAGACCCGAATATGGAATTTTTTGGGGTTCATGTGGTCCACGTCATCTGCCAACTCAAGACACCCGCGTGGCACAACGTAAAAGACCAGACATTTTGATTTGACAAACTAGAAACATGTGAATCGAAACCTAAGCATCAGAATATCGGCATTAATCTGATCCTCCTCCTATCCAATTGGAAAGCAAAACAAAGAGTATGGCCGTTACGTTTCCCTCCACATACTTTGTTCTTGCCTTATCTCTTTCTTTCCCTCCATTTCCAAACAAATCCTTCGTTACTTCACTCGCTGTTTCTCACTGGTCAGCAGTCACAGTTTCACAACATTATGGCTCACAAATTTGCCTTCACATTAACGTGCCCTCGTCCATTCATTGTCCCAAACACAAGACCCTTCATTTCAATTTCTTCCTTATTCTCTCCTGATGCTTCTGGAGTCCACTTGATTCAGTTCAACGGCCGCCACTTCTGTCTCCGCCGCCGCCGCGTTTTTCTACTCCCCACTAAGGCCACCGCCGATAAAAAAGGTGTCACTCCACCACCTTCGGGCAAGGTTGAAGAAGATGAAGAAGGCGTTGACGGTAAAATCCTTCCGTATTGTAGCATAGACAAGAAAGAGAAGAAATCAGTCGGCGAACTTGAACAAGAATTTCTTCAAGCACTGCAAGTACATATATGTTCGCCAAAATCTTCTTCTTCTTAGTAGTTGTTTATATATTTAACTTAATTTAGATATTAATTAAGTTGGGCAATTATTAATTTCAATCGACAGGCATTCTACTATGAGGGAAAGGCTATTATGTCGAATGAGGAATTTGATAATCTCAAGGAAGAACTTATGTGGGAAGGAAGCAGCGTTGTCATGCTAAGTACGAATCACTGAGAGTAGCTTTAGCAACTGTGATAAGTGGATTCATGTTATTGCTTATCTTTCTTTGTTTTTTTTTTTTTTAAGTCATTTTTGGTTCACTTCAGGTTCTGATGAACAAAAATTTCTGGAAGCTTCTATGGCTTATGTTTCTGGAAATCCAATCTTGAGCGATAAAGAGTTTGATGAGTTGAAGCTGAGGCTAAAGGTTCGCCTTTTGCTGTTTTCATCTTCAAATATTTTATATATATATGATCACCTTCTCCCTGACTGACGAAAAGTATATCATGCCAACCTGAAATTCATACTTGTCAATTTGTTTTTTAAGACGGCTGCTAGTCATATTTTCTGATCTGATAGTTTGTTTCCCAGATGGAAGGAAGTGAAATTGTAGTTGAGGGTCCACGATGCAGTCTTCGTAGTAGAAAGGTGAGTGATAGTCTGTAATCTGTTTTCTCATTCCTGTTTTGTAGTATTCACTTTGTTTCTTATTATAAACTTCAATAAATTACTTTACGTAAGTCAAGAAAATTAGCTAAAATTAATGCTTCAGGAAATTAAAAAAAAAAAAAACATTATGAAACATGCAGGAGATTCTTATAATAAGGACCAGAGAGGGGTAGTTGATTAAACCAATCATTAATCATTATGGACTTGTTTTTGAGGTTGAAGTACAGGGAAGTTTTATAGATCAATTATTACAAACACTCAGAGTGGCAAAAGATATTAGCATGATCAAGTGGCATTATTCTCCTTATTAACTAGAATATTTCATTAGGCTTTGTAATAAGATGCGGTTCATCATGACTATTAGACTCTGATGTCCGTCCAATCTTTATTTCTCTCTTAATTGGCATCATCTCTTTGAATAGGTTTACAGTGACTTGTCTGTTGATTACTTAAAGACGCTCTTACTGAACGTCCCAGCAACCGTCATTTCATTAGGATTGTAAGCAACTTTCTTCTCTCTCTAATTATTTATAAGTGCATGCATATTGTAATCAAATTATATTAAGTTATATTAGCAATAAATATTCTTCCATTTATTACAATAATTTATAGTTATTTACACTAGCAATTGGACTGGCATTTGCAAGAGGCAACTGGACGTGATTTTACCGTGTGTTCATCTGATGTGGATTGACTGTTTACAAGAGTTGGCTCATGACTTCATCCCTTTTTTTTAATACTTTTCTCTATTTCTTAGGTTCTTTTTCCTTGATGATTTGACTGGATTTGAGATCTCAAATCTCATAGAGGTACGGTCTTCTTTTTTTTTTCCCTACTCCTGTTCTAACATTGCAAGTAATTGATTTTTTAGAGCCTTTCTTATGTTTGATTTCCTTTTTCAATATCAAGAGACTTAATTGATCAATCCAAGAAATTAATCGTGAACCACAAGTACTATGCACTAGTGCATGATGGCTCAATTCCTCTTAAAGTCCGCAGAGTTATTAGCATACGTTTATGATTGTTTAGGAAACAATTTTAGTTATGAGAAACCAGAGATGAAGTTTCTGCAGAAATTAAAGCTAGGAAAACATGAGTGGTTCTTTTTGGTTAACTTCAGATACTTTGAATGATTTATATCATAACAGATATTCTGTGAATTGTTGAGTGCTGCAGATTCCGGAGCCTTATAGTTTCATTCTCACTTGGTTTGCTGCTCTTCCCTTCATTCTGTGGCTAGCTCAGGCTCTCACAAATGCAGTCGTAAAAGACTTCTTGATTCTGAAGGTGTAAAATTTAGTAGCGATACTATTTTCTTTTAGGCTATAATATTGATTAATTTTGTACAAGCTAATTAAGTGCTGACAGATTCACTTTTATATAGGGCGCTTGTCCAAACTGTGGTACTGAAAATACTTCCTTCTTTGGGACCATACTATCGATTTCAAGTGGTGGTTCTCCTAACACTGTGAAATGCACCAAGTAAATATGAAACTATCCTTTAATTAATTGACCTCATACATATTTTTAGTACTAGTCTGATTCAATCGATGATGGTAGAGCGTCATTTTTAACCACTGAATGGAATTTGTCTCAGCTGTGGCACTCCAATGCTGTATGATTCCACTACACGATTGATTACATTACCAGAAGGAAGTAACCCTTGAGCAGTGTGGTACGTTCCTGATCTCCTCAAAAGAAGTGGTTCTCTTCTAAATCTAATCTATAGTGTTGATAAATTCTACTCCTCCAGTCCTTAATATAAAACCTTTTTAACTAATTTGATTAGATTAAGAAGTTAGGTAAGTTAATTAACTATAAGAAATATAGCATGTTTTTCCTAAAACACCATAATCATTTTTCTTAATATTCTTCCTCCCTCACTTACTTGATTATGGTTGAGAGAATATCTATAGGGTAATTTAGGAAAAATTGATAAATATAATAAATGGGTCTTATATTTAGGATCAAAATTAACTGAACAATTAGGTCCTATAATGTACTTAATTTCTGCTGTCTATCTCTTTCTGGCTAAAATTAATTAAATCTCTGTGCAAAGACGTGGGCGCAATTAACAAACCAAGTGAAAGCTAGATTGATGAGCTTTTGACTAGAAATACCATGTCCATAACCAAAGTCCCTTTAATAGACTTTAGTGGATATACGCATATATATATATATATATATATATATATACGTGTAATTTCTCCATGAACATCTGATCATTTAATTTGAATGTGTGTTTGTGATCGCATCTATGAACAGTCTTGCTGTGCCAGACTCAACGACGCTAATAAGGGGAGGAGCCAAATAATAAAAGCTACGTACTTTGATATGAAAGTGACTTACATATCAACTCAAAAGGCTCTCAAGGTCATCCACGAAGAAAGACATTGAAGTAAAATATTCTTGTTCTTAATTACCAACGATCTGATGATCAACTGTTATGAAGTTCTTATATAGCCTGATTAGTTGTAACTTTGTAAGTATTTGGGCTTTGTATAGAATATAAAGGAATATCTACCTGACGAAATGAGTTATTAATTATCAGTTAGGAGGGTGCATACGTGTTTATATAATTTGTATCAATAATTAACCAATGTTAGCTTTCCATGGTCGATCATAATTTATGTTTCTGGAAGCATACCGATCCTTAATGTAATCCTTGCAACTTGCCCGCACGTCCTAACATTGAATAGAACAAATTCCAACACTGACCTCAACTCCAAATATTTGTTTGTTCTTATTGTACCCCACCAACTTCTATTTTCCCCTTAAAATAAAAGGTCAAACCTTGATCAGGGGTGTACAATGTGGCCCAGTTTATTCATCTGTTTCTCCATTTCTCATTCAATTCGATACATTTTAAAACTAATAATAATGCCTTGAAGAGTAGAGAGATCCTTGGATTGTAGCTTCGTGGGCAACACGAAGGCATTTTGCGCTGTGTATATAAGAACGCATGATGTACAAGTCAATGACCATATCGATCATACACCACATTAACTCTTCGATCAAGAATGGCTTCCTTCCTTCGCTTTGGTAGCTTCTTGCTACTTTCATGGGTCCTCACAGTCGTCGGAAACCCAGCAGCCGCCGCTGGAGTGTTCCGACCGAAACCGTGGTCTCTTGCTCACGCCACCTTTTACGGCGACGAGACAGCTTCTGCCACAATGGGTACGTTCATTAATTCTCACATGAATAGGGTTAATCAATATAATATATATATACTACCACCGGTCTCAATTATAAGAGCTAGTTAACTAATTTGAGGAGATTAAAGAAATAAGTTAAATTAGTTATTTATAATAAATATGTGTTATCTTTTCTAAAATAGCTTTACTAATCAAGTGTATTGATTAAAGGTATAATTGTTAGAAGAACTACTTTGAAAAAAAAAAGTATAAATATGAGAGACAAAATAGATTGGGGTCTTATATTTAAAATCAAAATAAAAGTTAAACAAGACTCTGTGTTATATAACTTGACATAGCTTTTTGTGTTAATAATTCTTGTTTTGAATTCATATATTAAAGGAGGAGCGTGTGGGTATGGGAACTTGTTCATGAATGGATATGGAGCAGACACAGTGGCGCTGAGCTCCACCCTCTTCAACAATGGCTTCGCTTGTGGAACATGTTATCAAATAAAATGCTACCAATCAAGCACCTGCCACAGAGACGTCATATTCACCACCGTGACGGCGACCAACCTCTGCCCACCAAACTGGGCGGAACCCTCCGACAACGGGGGGTGGTGCAACCCGCCACGCATACATTTCGACATGTCAAAGCCAGCATTCATGAAAATAGCTGACTGGAGAGCCGGGATCGTGCCGGTGTTGTACCGGCGAGTGCCGTGCCGGAGGAACGGAGGGCTGAGATTCGCCTTCCAAGGGAATGGCTATTGGCTGCTTGTGTATGTGATGAATGTAGGAGGAGGAGGAGACATAGGAAGCATGTGGGTGAAAGGAAGCAATACAGGATGGACCAGTATGAGCCATAACTGGGGGGCTTCGTATCAGGCATTTGCGACGTTAGGTGGACAAGCTTTGTCGTTTAAGATAACATCGTACACTACGAGACAGACTGTTATAGCTTGGAATGTTGCTCCTTCTAGTTGGTGTGTCGGCCTTACTTATTCCTCCAACATTAACTTTCGCTGAGGAGGAGGAAGGCTTGTCTTTTCTTAAAAACCATTATCGGATCATTGCTGTTTTTGTACTTCAACATTAACATTGCAAGCCTAGCTATAAATATGAAAAATAAACCATTACTGCTTGTGTACTTCAACATGTAAGTTGGATCCTCTCAAGTCAAAACTCTTCATTTTGATCTATAATCACGGGATTGACATGAGTTTTATTATATTGCATTATTTTTGCAATATGTGTGCTTGTGTTTTTCTTTTTCATTTTGTTTGGATTGGAAATTTATAATTAAAAATGATTAATCTGTGATTAATCTGAATTAAGCTGTTTGTTAATTAAGTTTAAAAAGTGATTGTAGTTAATTAAACATGAGTGAATTGTTGGGAGAACACGTCCCTCGATTCTCATGTTTACGTCTAAGTATCCTAACAACTCCCTCATGTGTTGATTAATTAAAATTACTTTTTAAAATTTATTTCAAATTGACCCTAAATTTATGAGTTTCTAATTTTTACTGCCCTATTTTATCAACAATGCTTCTCCTTACCACAGCTTGAGAAGTTCTTGTATACTACTTTAGACGTGTAATCCAGGTTAAAATCACAAAATGATCTAATTAATTTGAATAGTGGGAGTATCTTTTTAATAAAATATTTACACCAATTATTAAAATTTGTAACCACTATCATTCACATCAATTTTTTTCATTGCTTGTGCTAGCTTTTACAATAGCAGAACGGTCTCATTGATTTTAAATAGTTGACATGTTTATTTTGAAAAACATTCACGTTACAATTGAAATTTTCCATTACTACCATATCAACTTTATGCATTTTGTGAATCAAATTTCAAGATTACCAGATGATCTAAACATTTAATATTGATACATTTTTCATTAATTATTCCGTCGCATTCATCTTGATTACTATATGTGTCTAATAACATTGATATCGATTGATTGGTTTAATTGTAAAACTTACCATGACGATGATTTTTCTTGTGATATATCATTCATGGATATGAATTCTGAAGTGAATTATATAATGCAAATTCAAGATGATCATCCTTATTTTATTCAACTATCTTCTCCATCCCTAAGCATTACTATTAGTTGCATAAAATCTGATTTTTGAATTTAAAAATAAATATTATCATGTATTATAATATAAAAATCTTCTGAAAATAATTCAACAACAAAAATACCCTTTAACCCTTTTGTTAACCAACAAATTAATATTTTATACAAACAGCAAGGCTGGTTCCCATTTTGGACGGAATCGATCTAACTAAGAGAAAATGAAAGAGTTTTTGAGGGAAGTGGAAGTGGAAATGGAAGTAGAAAAGGAAATAAGTTTTAAAACATGTTTGGTGAAATGGGGTATAAATTTTAATTAAAATATGAGGAAAATTAATCTTTTAGTCCTCCAACTTTTAACCGACTTGTAACTCAATCCCTCAATTATGACTCGGTACAACTCAATTCCTGAATTTTTGACTTGCTTATAACTCAGTTCTCCATTTTTTTTTTTTGCTTTTTATATTATTATCCTTATCATTTTTTATGTGTCAAACATTCACCCAAGTCAGCTCCACATGGCAAAAGTTCTTCCTATTCAGTTCCACGTCTGCGGCCTCTAGCTCGCTTGCCCTCCTTTTCTCTGAACTCACCCAACTTATACGCCACCTTGGACCTCTCTGACCGTCTCTCTCCTCCCAGTACCCATTTTCTCCCGCCGCCTCTCTCCTTCTCTCCAACTTCCAATCCACCCAAGCAGCGTAGGAAATCAGACAATGAAATGCCAATGTTGCGATCAGTATTTTTTTTTTTTTTTAAATGTGTAAGGTCACCACACAATACTCTTGCTACTGGTAAAGATGGATGAATCACAATGTCATCCTTCTCAAACTCACTATCCATGGACCGGATCACCTTTCTAATCACAAAAGCCGTAATCACTTGCATGCATATATAAATCAAAAGCTAGGTTCTTGTTTATTCTAATGTTTTTTATTTTGTGAAGAATTGCGAGTACATGCATAGTTGGTTCTGATTAGAGTACAGGCTGTCGAGAAGCCATTTTGAAGCTTGAGATCATCGGAGGTGGGAACATCCTTTGACGCAAGAGAGGCCGTTTCAGTCACAGACTCTGGAGCTGAGGTAGAAGAAATTTTGCCATGTGAAGCTGACTTGGATTAATGTCTGACACGTAAAAGATGATAAAGATAATAATATAAAAAGCCAAAAAAGTAAATGACTGAGTTATAACGAGTCAAAAATTCAGGAACTGAATTGTATTGAGTTATAATTGAGTAACTGAGTTATAAGTAGATTAAAAGTTGGAAGACTCAGACTAATTTTCCCTAAAATATATAATGTGAAAATACCAAAATATCCTTGGGCTAAAAAAAACTCGACCGCTCAAAAATCCAGCCCACACCAGATGCAACTATCCACCAAAAACCACCAGCACAGTCGAAAGAACCAATGACCACCATAAACAGATGTAGTAAAAAAGAAACAATAACTATGAATCACAAATTACACAATTGAATGATTAGAAGACAACAATATTCTAGTCATCAAAAAAGAAAACAGACTGGAGATTAACCCCCCAAAAAAACCAAAATCATGCTAAAAAGTCGAGACCAGAAAACCTCTCAAAGCAAGCAAATCAGCACAAGGTTCTTGTTTGGGGAGATTCATGAGCTTCAACATTTGCATTGTAAACTTTGTTCTAAGATTTGCAAGCTTCAATCATTACAAATGGAAAAGCAAAAAATTAGAAAGTGGAAGGAAGAAGACGAGGTAGAAGGGATAAGATGAGATCTGGTGGAGAATGAGGAGCCATGGAGGAAAAGAGTAGAGATGAGATCCGCACCACTCCGCTGCCGCTGCTGTCGCCCTCTATGCGCCAGATCTCATGCCGGTAAGAGCATCGCTAGAAGCTTTGAGCAATCTGTGAGCCTCGGCTAAGGAGAGGCCGTCTACCGAGTGGTCACCGGCGTCGACGCCGTCCATCATCGTGCCCACCGGAATCATCGCCATCTGCCGTCATGCTAGCAGGTGTTGAACAAAGGGAAGGGTAGGCATGGGGCAAAATAGTCACGGAGCCAGTTCCATGAGAAGTGAAACTGGGCTCCTAGGGGGACCAAGGAAGTGAGTTCCAGCAATTTTGACGGAAGTGGGAGTTTTATGGAAGTGGCCTCCAGCTTACCAAACACCCTAAATTTGGATTCCACTTCCAATTCCACTTCCCTCCCTCCCACCCGCTTCCATGCTACCAAACGGAGCATAAATAAAATGGTACATGAGAGTGGCCCAAAAAAAGTTGGCCCAAAAAACAGAACACCAAAAAACTCAAGCCCCACCCGTACAAATACACCTTTTTTTTTTTTGCCAAAACCCGTACAAGTACACTAAGTTATATGATTTTCCCGCAAAAACGAAGCTCCTCTTCTGGATTTCCCGGGAAAATTAGGAGCCATTGTCAGCTAACCCCTCTTCCACAATGGACGAGTCCGGCACTCAGCATTCACAATCTTCTCACCTCAATCTGCCTCCCAATGTGGCTCTAGCTCCTATCTCCCTCGACAATCTAGCTCCTTCCCGTCCTATTGACCGTTTGATCAACTCTAATCACTATAAATCACCTTCCAGAACGATTTACTCTGATAGGTTTATACCCAGCAGATCTGGCTCCAATTTCGCGCTCTTCGGTATCTCGACGCCTAAAAATTCTACAGCAGAAGACAGTTCTAGCACCTACACCACGCTTTTGCGCACTGCGTTATTCGGGCCTGATGCCGGAGTTATATCTCCGGTGACGCCGGAGAAGAAGGGCTTATCCACGCCACCAAACCGAAATATATTTCGCTACAAAACTGAAACTTGCCAGTCCATGCACTCGCTTGAACCGTTCGTGTTCGATGATGTGGTGCCAGAAGCCAATCATAGCCCGGTCAAGGCTCCTCAGAAGATTCCACGGTCGCCTTACAAAGTAAATATACTGTCGTTCTTGTCTTTCTCTTCTTATACTGTTATTTAACATTTTGGGGTGTGGACAATATAATGTTTTGCAAGGTTCTAGATGCTCCTGCGCTGCAAGACGATTTTTATCTGAATCTTGTGGATTGGTCTTCGCACAATGTTTTGGCTGTGGGCTTGGGTGCTTGTGTTTATTTGTGGAATGCTTGTAGTAGCAAGGTATGTTCTCGTTCGATAATTGTTTTTGGCAGACTCTGTTTCGATTATTGTTATTGTTGTTTTAATCTTTTCTTAAATCAATATTCCCAGTGTCACTATAATCTTCCTTAATGAATATAATTTGAGGACAATGGATAAGCATATTATGCTTTGCCTCATCTCATTTTGCTTTCCCTCATGAAGGTAACTAAGTTATGTGACCTGGGGAATGACGACAGTGTTTGTTCAGTCAGTTGGGCTCAACGTGGCACACATCTTGCCGTTGGAGCTAGCAATGGTAAAGTCCAGGTAACGTTTGTTTTGTTGCTAGATATACTGTGGGTGAAGCAAGCCCCCTCGATGGCTTCCTCTATTACTGTTGGCAAGAAAATGGCTATCAAGCTAAAATAAATTGGCAAGTTATATGCATATACTAAATGGAATAGAATAAAGTATACTCTGATTATCGTTCCTCTAAGCTCATTAACCTTTGAGAGGGAAAATGGGAATACGACATGGTGAAAATTAATTAGAGGTGTTCGTACTTGCATTACATCTTGTCATATTCACTATTTTTAAACTTGCTTTGCTCACGCCTTTATGACCAAGAAGACTGCTAAGCAATTAACTTCCTCTTACTATTCCTCATATAGATTTGGGATGCATCTCAATGCAAGAAGATCAGAACAATGGAGGGTCATCGATTACGTGTTGGGGCTTTGGCCTGGAGTTCATCTCTTTTGTCTTCTGGTGGCCGGGACAAGAATATTTATCAACGAGATATCCGTGCACAGGAAGATTTCATTGGTAAATTCTCAGGGCACAAGTCAGAGGTCAGACTTGTTTCTATTTAGTCCAGCCTTATCTGGTCAGTTAATTTGGGGAGTTCACCTTGTCTTTGTTCTTCTGCACAACCTTGTAGTCCATGTTAGATTACCTTAAAACCAATGAAACTCAGCCTGAAATCAATTATTATGCTTTGCATCTTCTTAGGTATGTGGACTTAAGTGGTCGTGTGACCACCGGGAGTTGGCATCTGGAGGAAATGACAACAAAGTATGCAATTGCAAACCCCCTTTTAGACTTATCCACTAGCATTGTTGTTGCTACTTTACTTCTCCTGGATTGGTACTTTATAATTTACTTCATATGTTTGCAGTTGTTTGTTTGGAATCAACACTCAACCCAGCCAGTCCTAAAGTTCTGTGAGCATACAGCAGCCGTTAAAGCTATTGCATGGTCTCCTCATCTTCATGGACTTCTTGCATCTGGAGGAGGAACTGCTGATAGGAGCATTCGCTTCTGGAATACAACCACAAACTCACACTTAAGTTGTGTCGACACCGGAAGTCAGGTCAACCACTTACCCTGTATTTGTTTTTTTTTTTTTTATGTAATTCACGTTTTGTTCTTCTGTTTTTGGACTAATATGAAGCTGGTTATTCAGCGGCACTATGAAATGATTGGAGTTGTGGATTAGTTGCTAGGTTAAAAAAAACATGTTTCCTTTTTAAAGGATAATTTTGATCACTCATTTAAATCAAGAAATAACTAGAGTCTTCCAAGCAAAATGTACTGAATGGAAAGTTACTTCAGCTGAAAGTAAGTGGTGTAATTCCAACTCAAGAACAAAAGAATGATAAAAGGCCCATGAAATAACTGTTGTAGTAAAGAAAGGAGGTTAGAGATCAGTGACTTGGTAGAACAGCTTGGAATCTTGAAACCATTGCTCAAGGATCTTGTCGAAAGTGTTTCTTTTTCTTAAAAGGATTAAAAACTAATCAAAGAACTTGTACCATTTTACTTTGAGGAGCCACCATTTTGCTTTGCTATTGAATCCTTGAGGAGCCACCAGCTTTTAATGCGATTACTTAATCAACACTAGTCGGCATTGTCATCACCCCTATGATAACCATGTGGCAAACTCTCCAATATAAGGCATTGGTCATAAAATACCCTCAAAATTAATCAGCGTGTGGAGATGCCACTTTTATCTCCCTGTTCCACACATCTGAATAGAATGCAATGCTTCCACAAAGTTGCAATCAAGTTGCTTAGCTGCCTGTTCAGATTAAAACAGTCCAGTCCAAATTCTGCTTTGGATGCTGCAGTTTCCCTAAATGCTGATAAGATAATTTAGCTACATTTTTTTGTTCTAGACCATGGTTTGCAATACTGTAGATGCTATGTTAATTTCATTGCTGCAACAGAACAAGCTTTCTTCCGCTTAAGGATTGCTACATTTCTGCTATTCTGAATATTGTACAAAATAATGATCATCACAGTACTATCCCCATGAATCATCTCTTCATTGTCAGCTGTGAAATTAAATTATAGACATGCTCGCATTCTTTCAAAAAAATTATAGACATATCTTCATTGCTGCAACAGCCCATCACTTACTCAATATATTATAGACATACCCTATAATTCACTTTTCTTGGATTTAAAGCATTTTTAATGGAGAAAGATGATCTGAACGATATGGTTCTTGGAAAGTCATGGTCAACAAATATATGATTCATGGTTTCTAGTACTTATTGGGGAATGGGCACCCTTGATTAGCTTTAAAGTGCTTTTGTTCCTCTTGAATACAATGAACTGGTATTGCATCATACAGCACCTTGCCCGCAAAGTTAGTCCTCATTCGTGACCTAAGTTTCCACCAAAATCGTTTCCAATTATTAAGATGATTTCGTGACAGGAGAAGTTTTCAAATAGCCCCCCCCCCCAAGGGGGACATAACGTCCATTTTGGTTTTCTCTCCAAACCAGTATAACTGGTATAATGGAAACTAAATTCTTGCAAATAATTTTGGAGGTGCCTGTGTCATATATCTAATGAGGAAGCTGCATTTTCTTCTTTTTTCTTTTCGGGAATAAATCAAGGCAGGTGTTTAGCTTGAAACTACAAACAATATATCAACCCTGGCTATTACAAGCCCTGCCTCTCTTCCATGAAACAGCATCACCACCCACATCGTGGGCACTCTTGGCTAGCTTGTCAGGACACCTGACTCTCCATGAACATGACAAATCTCAATACCCCAAGTGATGTAAATGGAAAGCTGCATATTTTAGTGACCTTTGTGCAGCATAAGATTCTTGACAGAGCTAATAACTCTGGAGGATTCTTCTACCATTTATCACGTAGATTACTTATAGCCTTCATATGGGGAGATTAGTGTGGACACAAGTGGGCTGACATTTGACCTTTTACTCGTGGCCCTATGGCAGGTCTGCAATCTTGTCTGGTCGAAAAATGTCAATGAACTGGTCAGCACACATGGCTACTCGCAGAACCAAATAATAGTATGGAGATATCCCACCATGTCAAAGGTAAAACTTGTATCTATGCTAAAAAATGGCACGTGTTACAATTTTTGCCTAATCTGAACAATATCATCTACTTATTTTGTCTGTTGATTCAGGCGGCAACTCTTACAGGCCATACATATAGGGTTCTTTATCTTGCCATTTCTCCTGATGGACAAGTAATTCAGCTGCTTTCCACTCTCCTTTTCCTTTAAGGCTTGGTAGCTATTTGTAAGAGTGATTTTCTAACTTCGTATTTGTGTTTTCTTCTGTTTGTGATGATGACTTGCACTACCAGAACATTGTCACTGGAGCTGGAGATGAAACACTTAGGTTTTGGAATATATTCCCTTCTCCTAAGTCTAAGGTAAATTATTCATTGAAAGGAGGAAAAACTAATGCCATTGTCCTCCTTTGCTTCTCTTGTTTATTTGAGTACTTGATTGACCATGTTTATGACGATGAGTTTGAATGGTCATGTGTGAAAATCACCTTTACGTCTTTCTCATAGGAGGGCCTGCACAATCATTTAGTTTTTACAATTTTTCAGAGGAGGAATTTGCAGTTGCTCTGAATTCTCATTGTGGTGCATGACGCCATTATCTTTCTATTTCTATTTGTTCATAAGTACTCCCTCCATCCCTAATATGAGTCCTGATTTACATCCTCCTTTTGTCCCGAAATATAAGTCCTAATGCAAATTCTAGGTATGATAAATACTTGCTTTCAAAAATACCCTTGATCTAAATATAAATTTCCTATCCATCTTTGAAATTTTACAAGTAGATGCACTCTTTACGATGGCATAGTGTGAAAATGGAAAGGAAAAACTTCTGCGTAATTCATAGATTTTGGTACTTCATTGTTTTACATGTTTTTCAATATTAAGATTTATATTGAGGAACGGAAGTTAGTCTTTCAGAAAGTGAGTGCGATCTTCTGCTAGATCTCATTGTTTATTTGTTCAGTCCTTTTCTTTATAATTGTCTCCTATCTTTTCCCACTTTTGAAAGCTCTCTCTCTCTCTCTCTCTCTCTCTCTCTCTACACACGCGCCAAAAAAAAAAAAAAAAACCAATCAACCACTTTTGAGAGATTGTTTACAGACAAAGATCCAAAACTGAAAATGCATATATGTTGGTGCAGAACACTGAGAATGAAATTGGAGCATCGTCGCTTGGAAGAACTATTATTAGGTGACTTTCAGGACAGCATGGGGGGAAACTAACACACTTTATGACACCATCAAAGTGGACTTCTTGAAGGGCAGTTATAGAGTGACGTTGTGGCTGCTAATATTTATGTATATTGATACAGTTTTTGTCGATTTTATAGTTTTAGTAGTAGAGTCGTGGCCAACTTCTTTTCCTTGTAAAGAAGAGCTACCTTGCTTTGTATAGTTTGAGGATTAAGTTTATATCTCAGAGGCATCCTGAGACGCATGTCTGTATGTCTCCCAAAGTTTTGTATATAAACACGCTATTATTACCTGGTTTGACCTTATTTTAATCATGCTACTCTTGTTAGATTTTTTTTTCTTCATAATTTAATTAATCAACGTGGGATTCTCTCTGTTCTGACATTCTTCCTACTATTTTTTATTTTCATCTTTCGTTCATTTTTTTTCTTCTTCACATTTCTTGTACTTCTTTTTGAGTTTTAAAGGACCCAGGTCCACAATATTTCATTTTTCATTTCATTTTTTTTTCCTTCAATCTGATAAGAATCATTTGTAAGAGGAATAAAATGATAAATGATAAATGACTAGTGCAATATTTTATTAGTGAAATAGCAGATAAATTAATGTAAAAGCAATTATTTACATAAATTTGGGGAAACTTCTCACCAAATTTCAAAACTTATGAGATTATTGGCACATGCTTAAAGTTCTAGAAAATTGTGTCAAAGAGACAAGAAAGAGCTGGATAATTTATTTTATTTGCTTTATAAACAATCTCACCGCTTAGAGTAATCCAAGAAGGCAAGCCATCAGCTATTGGAACAGAACAATACAATGGATGTTGTGTATTTTTTTTTAGTAAAAACCAAGTGGAGCTAGAGGCTAATCCTCCTGAGACGTAGAAAATAAATCACCAAAGTAGGTTTTGCTTCTCCTAACAAAGTCTTTTCCATACACACGGCCTGGTTCAAATCCAGAACATCATGTTTAAGGGACCCAGTTATCTACCAATTCTACCAGGTTTTGCTAGCAGATGTTTTGTATTGATTCAAGCAAAATGGATACCAAAATCAAAGATGTTTTCTATTGTTATAAAGAGATTTTTTTTCATTTTTTTTTTTCTTCTGTTTTCCCCCTAAATTTAAAGCTAAACGTGATTCATCTGTCTCCCAGTAATAAAGGGGAAGGACCTACAATACAAGTATAAGCCTTCTTTCTACGAGATAAGGCCTCTGATGTGGTTCATCTCAATACTGATTCATCCCTATCTTGCTATCTTGTCCCATCTCACCAACCTATTAAAAATAATAATTTTGAATACAACATTCACAAAAATTCATGTAAAATAGGATCTGATATTTACACTAAAAAAGACTTTTTTTCCTTCCCTTCCCAATAATATTCAACACAATCTGCAGTATCTGCCAACAACTTGTGCGTCTGTGAATTGTGATCACTATTAACAAGAGAGAGAAAATGAGACGCATCTCATACTTGTGCTAAGCTGAAGAGTTTACATTTGGTTGCTGGGTCCCACTATAGAGTTTGTCATTGTGAAGGGGAAGTTCTCGGGACCATTTAATTGAGCTCAAGGCCATGGGGGGGAAGCAACAGTCACAATCTTGATCACATGGTTGTGGTAGGTCCAGGTTAGTGTTACTTGGAGAAGTTGCCGACCCAAGGGCCTGCTCTTCCTGGGGCCCACTTGATAAAGTTTTAGGTGCAGACGGGTCTTTAAGTGGGCCCCAGCACTCGACCTTGCTGAATTCTGGAATGTTTGAGTGGAAATAAACCCAAACCAAAGCTTCCTGCAATTCTGGGTAGTTGTTGAACAACCCTCCATCCCCATGAACAAAAGCCTTCAACACCTAGTGGATTCAGAATTCAAAAGTTGGTTCATTTCTTTCTATTGTGTTTGAGAATTGAGATGGCCAAACAAGTCTTAAACTTTGATTATCATGTATAGAGCTTACCACAGGAAGTTCCTTACAGAAGATGAAGTATCTAAGCCTGGCACATATATCTAAAAGGAAGTGACCTCCACTGATATGGCAGTGAACGTGTAGGGACATCTTGCCCTTAACCTTCTTCCACTCTGCCACCACTTCGTCCCTCTGTAATCTATTGTACCACCCCTGTAGCTGCAATTCAATCTCCAAACTTGTTTCTAAGAATATTCAATTATTAGTTAATCAGTAAACAAATTGAAAGATCTGTAACTTATTCTTCCTCTGATCCACAAATTCTATGTTAAACTAAACTGGGTCAAGCAGGGATGTAAGATCCCCTGCTTTCCTCTGTTTTTTTGACAGTTTTTGATGATTTAAAGGACTGGGAAAAACAAATCGACGAGAATTAAACCAAAATATTCAGATGAGGAATTACCTGAGAGTTATTTATAGTCTGAGAGATCGCGAGAGTGAGTTTGGAAGTGATATCACTGTGGGTTAAGGTGTAAGTCCTGGGAAGCTTGCCTGGATGTTTCTTTTCATCCACACCCAAGAACAAAACTTTGAGCTTTGAAGCTTCAAAGATCGCAGGCCCGAACAACCTAGCAACCTGATCCCACCAAACCCACATCAGAAACAAGAAAAAGAAACCATCTTTAAAACCCCCAAGACATCTTGATTCCGAAATTCAAATCAAAACCGAAAGAAACCCAAAAAAAAAAAAAAAGCATACATACAGGAGAGATTGGCTGTTTCTTCTTGCAGGGTCGCCTTCTGTGGGGAAAAAGATAAAGCCGTTGATCAGAGAAGGAAGGCTTAAGCATGGAAGGGACGATAGGAGTAGTAGTAGTAGTCAGAGTACCCATCTCCGATCAGAGAGGAAGAAGAAGTTATAATAATAAGAGATTGTTTCCAGAAGCCCCAATCTCTGTGGGGTTAGTTCAAAGGTTGGCGCTCGGAACAATCTTTCGAAGAGGAAGAGACTTTATATTTATGCCTTGTGTTGGCTCGGCTTTGGATTTTGGTTCAGATCCAGAATCTGCTTTTAGCTTTGTTGAGCTTTAGATTTTGCTTCTCAGCTTGAACTTCGAAAATTGGGAACAAAACTTCCGGAGAAGTGGACAGAGCTGTCGGAATCTTCGTGTTTGTGCGTGTTAGATGTTGAATTGCGTGTAGAACGTGAGATTTACGTTGGGTGTTCGTCAATCTTAAATGAGCAGCTAATACTTATCAAATCTAGACGGTTCACATTTATTTTTATTTTTTATTTTTATTTTTTTAAAATTATTATTTTAATAGGTATAGAATAAAAAAATAAAAATAATTTCTTAACTATTATTTTTTAAAAATATAATTTTTTTCTATTTCAAAATAATTATTTAATAATATTAAATCTGGACTGTCCAGATTGCTCATCAGGTGATGAGTATTGGGTGCTCATCACCTGATGAGCACCGAATGGGAACCCGTAGAACGTGCCTTTCTTTCTCCCACAGTTGCTGGGTAAGCAAAACCTAATTGAAAATCAAACCAAACCAAATTTAATTTTAATTTTTTAATTCAGTTATTTTGGTTTTCAGTTATATATTCAGTTTTTATTTTTTTAATAATTCAGTTTCAGTGTTCAGTTCGGTTAGTAGAAAAAAAATTCGGTTATAACCGAAAAACCAAATCAAATATATTATAAATATATTTAGATTTAATAAATATTATTATAATAAATATATGTGTGGGTTCATGTAAACTCTTTAAATATATTTATATTTAACAAATATCGTTATAATAAATATTATTATAATAAATCACATTAAATGATGAAATATTTATTAATTAATGATTGTAATTATGTTTTGTTATTATTATTTATTTAAAATCACTTTTCATATTTATATATTTTGGTTAATCAGTTAACCGAATCGAAATATTTTAGTTAATTCGGTTTCTATTAGTTCGATTAATAGGTTTTGATTCGGTGTTTAAAATCTTCTTTGTTCGGTTAATTCGGTTATCATCGATGACTGAACTGAAAAACCGAATGCTGACCCCTAGTTGTAGCTTCCTCATGAATATGAACCTGTGCTTTAATAATGATCATAATTATTTTTCACATGTGTCCTTACGCAAAATATCCACGATGTCTACTCACTCTTACGCCATCTCTTCTTTGTTTTTTCTCCCCTATAAAATAAAGGAAAAATCTCATAAAAAAAATATTGCTGAATTTCAAAATTTTAAATTAGGAACTATTACAAAAATATGTGGTCATTTGCTTTTTAAATGTAGTAATTTTCTTTACGAGTATAGTAACCAATATTGATTTGAAAATTTGAAATTTAATAATCACCTTTTGAGATTTTCCCGTAAATAATGAATGCCCTTATGACTTAACTCAAAAAATCAAAATAAACTTATCTAATTCCTTTTTATAAGAGAATTTTTGGGCAAAAGTGAGAAAGATTTCTTAATCAATTTTATAACAAAATACAACTTTCTCTATGTGACATTTATTAGATTTTTAATTAGAAACCCCTATCAAGTTTACATAGCTCATTTGGCATGTTGGAATTGCCAAGCATGGAGGTAGAAATGAAATTGATTTTCATCAAAATATTTGTTTGGTTGGTATGATAGCACTCCTCTGCTCATAAATATAAGACTCATTTTATAGTATAAATTATATTATAAAATAAGTCTTATATTTAAAATGGAGGAGGATTAAATAATTTCCTAATTCAATTTCTATCAAAATTGCTGGAATTGACTTCTCTTCTCGCCTCCTATGATTTGTAATTGCATCCCCCAAAATCTATTTTTGTTCCTCCCCTTCTCTCATTCAAGCTTGGTTGTGAGGAGCCTTAAGCCCTCCCACTGACGAGCATCTCACCCCTACTGTCGACAAGCTTCTCATCCACACCACCGGTGAGCTTCTCACTCACCGTTAGTGAGCTCCTTTTAAATCTCCCACCTCTATCGTTGGCAGTAATCCACACCTCCTTCAACCTCCAACCATTTCACATTCTGTGATGGCAACGATGAGAAAGAGGCATTGCGTAGACAGTAGAGAAGACAAGCCCATGACTCGCAGTCGGAAGATCTAAAGACCCCCAAGCACAATCACATTATTAATTGTCAATGCAGGAAGCTTGGTTTCATGACGACCATGTGACTCCAAATGGTGTTGATGATGGAAGACGAAGGCATTGTTGAAGGCATGAAGATGAAGGCATAGATGAAGAGCTTGTTCGGAATAGTGATTCGAGCATTTAAAAACAACTTTTTAATTGTAATTTAAATGTTTTCTTGATTCATTACAAAAAAAAAAAGGGTAAATTACTAGCGATCCATTTCTAGCGGTTAAAAAAAACCGCTACAAAAGTAGACGTTTCTAACGGTTATAACACAAACCGCAAGAAATCTGCAGCGTTTTGACCAGAAAGTGTGCAGGACCCACACATTTTTAGTGGTTTTAAACCAACTGCTAGAAAGTGACCGCCAGAACTGTTCGTGCCATTTGGCATGAAGTTCGTGCTATATTTCTAGCATTTAATTTCTAGCGATTTTGTTGCTGGAACTACTAGAGAATATAAATCGTCATTGTATTTTCTAGCGGTTATGGAACTGCTAGAAATTCCAACTAATTTTCTAGCGGTTTACATTGAAACCGCTAGAAATTTTTTATTTTTCTCGAGGAGGCCTAACACGTGGCTGCATGCGAGTGGCAGCGAACTAGCAGCACTACAAATTTCTAGCGGTTTTAGTATAACCGCTAGAAAAGTGCAGCCTATATATACCCCCCTCGGCCATAGAATTGTGAAGCGAAGCTCTGTCGAATTCTCTCCACAAGATGTATCTAGATCTAGATAGTATTCCACATTTTCAGGTAAGAATAGAAATTTATTTATAAATTATTTTCTTTTTTCTTTTTTATTTTATTATATTTTTTATATTGAGTTTAATAGACAGGTTTAGTTAAAGTTAATAGAAATATTTTTTTATATAATATACTAGTTTATTGAGAGTTAATAGAAATAATCATTTTTTAATGAGTTGATAGCAAATTTAAATGTACAAATATCTGTTTTTCAATTATTATTATTTAGAGTTAATAGAAATAATTATTATTTGATATAATTGTTAGTTGGAAAATATATTTTTCATTACAATTGCTATTTTTTATTATTAGGATAACTCGTAGACCAGGGAAGGAGCTGGTATATCCTCATAGTGGAGGACCCAGCGAGGATCATGGTGCTGGGGGTGATGATGCTGGTGAGCCATTCCCAAGCATTCATGACTACGATTTGAACGAGAACAATATCTCAGACTTTATGAAGCATGATGATATCCAGCCTATTGAGGAGGCTCATTTCTCAGGAGATGAATAACCCCATGTTGATGTTGGTTAGGAGGAGGAAGAGGAGGTTCAGGGGAATGAGAATCCCCATAATTAGCAGCATCTTACTCCAAGACGTTAGATCAGTTTTGAAGTAGAGTTTGTGGGTAAGTGTTTATTTCATTTTTTTAATTTGACAACTATTTGATTTATATAAAAATTATTTTAATTTAATTAATATATAAATAATTTTTCAATTAAATTTTGCAGACTCTGAGGGGAACAGGTCCTATAGGAGGTTGATAGTCAGAGATCTATCCATGATGATGAGTGCCGTTGAATGAATTGGGCCAACCGACTAAGAAAGGTGACCAGCTATATAATAAGTATGTGTGCCTTCTTGGTTAGTAGTAGACTTTGTTCCTTATTTATGTGAAGGATTGGAAGAAAATCACAGTAGAGAAGAAGCAATAAAGTTGAAAAGTGATGAAAGTAATATAAATTTGTTATTTATAATTTTGTTTAAATTAGTTAAATGAATATATATTTTTTATTTAAATTATTTAATTGTTTGATTATAATTTGTTATTTATGTAATTAATTTTTTATTTATAATTTTTTAAATTAGTGAAGTGAATATATATTTTTTATTTAAATCACTTAATTGTTTGATTATAATTTTTTATTTATTTAATTAATTTTTTATTTATAATTTTGTTGAAATGAGTTAAATAAATATATATTATTTAAATTACTTAATTATTTGATTATAATTTTTTATTTATTTACTTAATTTGTTATTTATAATTTTGTTTAAATTAGTCAAATGAATAGATGTTTGATTTAAATTACTTAATTGTTTGATTATAATTTGTTATTTATGTATTTCATTTTTTATTTATAATATTTTTAAGTTAGTTAAATGAATCTATATTTTTTTTATTTGAATTACTTAATTGTTTGATTATTATTTGTTATTTATTTAATTTATTTTTTATTTAAATTAGTGAAATGAATATAATTTATTTTTTAAATTACAAAGTAAATGTATATTGGGAGAGGAGTTGAGGGCGGATACCATCAAGAGACTTGAGGTGGCATGGAAGAACATAAGGGCTGACTTGTGGCGGGAGAAGAAAAGTGACAGGACGAGGCCCCTGCAGGAGATATTAGCAGATATACCTACTAGAGTCCCAGAGCAAGACTGGTTGAGCTTTGCGTATTTTAGGATGTCGGTTGAGCAAATGGTATGATATTATTACATTAATTATAAATTTTTTGTCCAATTTGACTAATTTAATTTTTATACATTTTGTTGCAAGCTCTCTCCCAGAGAAATACTGGGAACATCAGGCTACAGACAATGCGTCATAGGGCTGGATCCAGGAGCTTTGCTATCACCTATGATGAGATTGTAAGTACATGAAAACAATTTGTATGTTGTGTATATGTATTTAATTTGTAATTAATATTTTTTTTCATTTCATTTACAGAGGAAAAATACGTAGCAGGATTGGGGATATGTAACATCCCAAAATTTGAAACCCTAGTAGAGTCGGTAATACGGGCTGGGCCTGCGGGCCCAGCCCGCCAAAAAAGGCGGGCTTGGGTTGATGTTTTCCCAGCCCGCCACGGTGCGGGCTACTCTAGCCCGCACCGCTTTTGGCCCGCTCTGCCGCGGGCTAACCCGCTGGTTGGCGGGCCAGCCCGCCAGCCCGCTTTTTTTTTTTTTTTTATTTTTTCTGATTTTTAATACATTATATAATATAGTTAGATGATTTTGACCATTAAATTTCATATGGACATTACCTCATCCATA